ACTCCAAGATCTTAATATTAAGATACTGAGTAAATAATTTCTCAGTCTTAATGTGGCATACTGTGTAATTATAAATGACAATGCTATGTGAGTGTTTAATGTGTAGAAAGATATTTATGTAACACTGTGAGAAAAGCAACATAATTAGATTGCAGGGGGTCAGAGGATGAATGGAGACATGATAAACAGATGATGATATATGAATGGATAGATTATAGATAGATCAATAGATAGATGGTAGATGGACAGATGATAGGTAGAAGACAGATAGACATACAGATACATTGATTGGTTGATGATCAGTGGTTGCATATACAAATGATACATGCATAGATATATCATAGATGCACAGATGTATCAATTGATTGGTTAACTGGTTGATTGATAGATGCACAAATAGACTATAAATAGAAAGATAGATAGATGATAGATAGATGATAGATAGATAGATAGATAGATAGATAGACAGATGTAAATAGACAGATACCTCTGCTCAACTATGAGTTAGCTGTGGAGTTCCTTACTGCCCCCCCAAATTTCTATATCTCATCTTAGATTTTTCTCTAATTTCCATTTCTCACATGAGCAAGACATTGTCACCTCCATGTGTTTGTATCCCACATCCTCAACAGGTGTTGCCCATCTCACTTCTATCCATCCTTCCTCTCATCCACCTCTCAAACAGAACTCATCCCTCTGCTCCCAAGTATGCTACCTACTCTCTTGTATATGGACAAGTCATAAGACCACTTAAAATGAAGATCCTGCTGGCTCTCAGCATTTGAGTCCCTCTTTAAAAAGTTTTTGGGGAACGGCTGGGGGTGCCAACAACACAGCAGGCAGTAGCAGGGATATCAGAGTATAAGGGCTCTAGAGGGGGGAGGGAGGCTATGGGAGGGTGCTATCTGGGAAGTGGGCATAAAAAAAATAAATAATTTTTTTTAATTAAAAAAATTTTTTTAAGTTTTTGGATTGAGCTTTTGTACATTTCATGCATTCTTAATCAAATTCAGAATCCCTCCCCCATCCATGCCCTCCCCACACCCCCACCAGACCTCATGTGTTCCACCATACATGTTAAATCCTATTCAGTTAAGCATTTGCACCCAGATGTTCTTCGGTGCAAATTCATCCACTGGAGTCTAGTCAGCTAGAGAGCTTAAGGAAAGTCTACTCTCCCTCACCTACTAGTAATCAGTTTCCAACAGTTCCCAGACTACGGCCAGCCCACCACCCATTTTCCTCACTCCACTCTGGGTCCTGGTCTGATTGAGTTGACACGGGTCCTGTGCTCAACGCCATCGTTGCCACAAGTTCACGAGTGCAAGCTTCCAGTAGCCTGAAAGCCTGTTTCCCTATGTTCACGGACCAACCTTGGCTCTCGCAATCTTTCTGCTCCCTCTTCTACAATGGTCTCTGGGCTCTGGGTGGATGAGGTTTAATACAGGAGTCCTATCCAAGGACACACATGCTGCAGTCTCTTGTTCTCTAAAACTTAGCCTGTTGTGGCTTAATATGTAGGCCTTTCTTGAATCCTAACAATTGTCTCTATTTGTAGTTTAGACTCAACTGTATTTCTCAAGAGAAGCAAGTTAAGTCTTCAGGCCAAATGATGAACTAAGGGAAGGAGAGCGCCACCAAGTGGGAAGACTAGGAATGTTACTGCTCCAATCTTTAACTTGAGATTTCTATAGCTCTGGAACACAAAGTTAAGACCACCTGAACCAGATATGGAAAGCAAAGATGCCTATGGTCTGATGGGATGTTCTCTAAGAGCAGCCACGTGAAACCTAATTATGGGGTCTGGTGCCAGTAACACTTACAAGAACAGAGACACTTTCGCTTCCTGCTGACTCTCCGAAGACGGTCACAGAGCTTGGGTTCCCTCCAAAGTTGGCAATGTTGTCCTGGACCCAGCGCAATGCAGCCACCTGGTCCAAGTGACCCCAGTTCCCCAAACTGTGTTCATCCCCTGTGCTGCAAAAGAACGCATGGGAACATAAATATAATGGCAGGGTTCTCAGGACCACAGATTCAATATCTGTTCCTCCACTCTGACACGTTGCAACCTAGGGCTCTTCAGCACCCAACTCGGATGAAATGGCTCAGACTTGAACTTTGAATCACCAAACTGTATTCTAAATAAATGGTTCCTTATCATTGACCAGTTTCAGGTAGATTGCTATAAAAATAGACCAATACAAGGCCTAACATGTAGAAAAGAGGTTCAAAACCCTACCTGAAAAATCCCCAAATGCCCAGGCGGTATTGAATGGTCACCACCACCACATTTTCATAGGCAGAGAGAGCCATTCCATCATAGGTTGATGCCCCACCCAACACGAGTCCACCTCCATGGATCCACACCATCACCTGGATGGGAAGAACCATATGGTCATAGGAAGCAGAATTGGGAAGAAACTCTGAAGTTATCTTGTTTCACTCTCTTGGCCTGACCCTGATTTGGGAGGCTACCATCTATAAGTCCCAGTAGTGCACAGCTGGCTGTGAAAAGCAGTCTCTCCTCTCCATTTATCCTAAGACCCAGGAGGTCATCACAATTGTCATCCCCCTCTTATCTCTACAGACCCCTCTTTGAGATTGTTTCAGGTCTTTTTAAAAATTTGTTTTCATTGAATTTTTGTGTATTTCACACAGAGTATCTCAAACAATCTTAATCATCTTCATACCTTGTCCCCACTGGCATTCTCCCATAGTCCTCCCACTGGAGCCCATATACTCTGTCATCCTTGTTTAGTCCCACTGTGTCAAATCAGTGAGGTCTAGTCAGCCTACCTAGAGTCTTGTTTTAGGAAGATCAGCTCTTCCTCACCTAGCAGTGATTGGTTGCCAATATTTCTTCAGCTAAGATTAGGGTCTGCTGTTCATTTCCCCAGTTCTATGCTGGGTTTTTGTCTGCCTGAGTTTGCATGGGACTTGTATATGCTGACACGATTGCCATAGAATCATAGGAACAGGCTCCCAGGAGCTTGTAGGGCTCTATTTCCATATGGTCATGCACCTCCTCCATGGCTCTTACAATCTTTCCACCCCCTCTTCCACAATGGTCCCTGAGTCATGGGTAGGTGAAGTTTAATATAGGGGTCCTGTCCAAGGACCAGTATTCTACAGACTCATAATCTCTACACTTTGGCCGTTTGTGACCTTTTCTGTTCATGGCCCCCTGCTTCATGAGGGATCTTCATTAATGAGAATTGAGAGATTCATTAGTGTCTTCTTCTTTACCCCTGTTCTATGTTCCTTGTGTCTTAGGTATAGAGGTTACATTGTAGATGTGTCACTTAGGCCTGGGCAATTCATAGATAATGTCTGTGTGTGACCAGTTGTGGTATTTAGTAATAGTCTCTGACTCTTGGAAAATGGGCTTCTTTGATGAGTGGTGACTGCAATATTTTTCTGTAAATACAAAGATATATATTTTGCACATAGTAAGAAATTGTATTAGTCTAGGGATGTGACAGTCTTGTGCTTTTCTCTAAGATCTATGACTACTCCAGTCATCTGTAATTTAGTTATGTTTACAGAACCATACTTGAGGTTCCTCCCATTGACTGGGCTTTTAGTCCAATCAGGTAGCTGTTGATTGCCCCCAAGATAAAAGTGCCACTACTGCACCAATGTCCTTTGCTGTGCTGGCCATTGATGTGGTTATTTGGTCTTGAAGCTGGTGTTGGACCATTGATTGATGTTTTCTCTTGGCACCCTCATAGTGCTCTCTAAAGCCATGAGAGCTAGCCTCAGGGGGAGTGGTTTCGGGTCAGTTCCAGCTCTGTTACTCCAAATCCTGTGTCCGAAGTCTGTTCTGTCTTCAGTAGTTGGGTCTTACCTTCAAGTTCTTGGAAGCCATCATGGCTGTGGCAATAGCCTGTGTAATTTTAGGAGTCTCTTGGAACACCCTAGCCAACAACTCAAAGGAAGGTTTCTCCTGTCTGGCACTGTTTCTTGTTATGTAGCCTTTAGTTAGACACACGGACTCATGTAGAGACAATGTATATATGATTTGTCAGTAGGTTGTTGGACTAATATGGTTCCCTCTGGTTTTATAAAAGTAGCTAAGCATTATTTTCTCCCTCTCTAACCCTCCTGCCAACTGAAGCATCATCAGTGGAACAACCTAGGCTAAGGGCATTATATTCTCCACAACACTCCACCATCCCAGTGTCTGGTCCATTCAAGCAGGTGAAACGGACATTGTTCAAACTTTAGTTTCAGACCCATTAACTTTAATGTGTCCCACTGATTACCTCAAGACTCGCACACATCCTCAATGGAATCCCTTCCCAATGTGCCTTCACTCTGCTACCTCTGCACACTCAATCATCCCTACTTTGCTAAGCCTAGTTAACATCCACTTTCTCTAGGAAGTCTTCTGTCATTGATACAGTAAGGACTATAATAAGATGTGAGGCTGAAGGAGGATACATCAACCTCTAATTCTTGACTCCTGGATTTAAAGGGCTCACATTTTATAGAACTGAGAGAAGATAAAGTTACAATATTGTGCAACATTGCTAATAAAAATAACACCAACTATTCAGAAGGAATGGTCTTAGTACTTGAAATTGATTACTGTCCATAACATCAATACTAATATTGTCCAATTTGACAAGCAAAGATGAAAGCCTGAGATCCCATAGCTAATAAAAGGTAGAGGCAGGGCCTGACCCAGCCATCTGGCCCCAATGCCTGTCCGCTGAACTCTCATCCACTGAAGCCCCTGGCTGCTTGGGCAGAAATTAGATCCTTCTGCAACTCAGGCTAGTATGTCAGTGCTGCTGTTCTGTGCACTCAACCAGGATGGAGATACAGTTCCACAGCCATCGTGGAACATTCAGAGGACAATTCCTGTGTGAAGAAACAGAAGCTGAGAAGGTAACATATTGCTTGGTCTTTCAACAAGTGAAAAGAAGACCAAAGACGTAAACCCAGACTCTAAGATCTGTATCCATTGCTGGAGGGTCTTGTACTTCTAGGCTCAAAGAGATCCTATTTCTCCTTCCCCTGGGCTCCCTCCCACCTCAAAGGAGGGTCTGAGTCAAGTTCGTCTTAGAGTAAAGGCTAAGCTCAAGGGTTGGTAGGAATGACACGATGGAGATGTTATTAAGTATACATGTGTCCAAACTAGAGGCAAAGTCCTTGAAGGCTAAAATCCCAATAATGGTTCATGCTTCTCTTTCCCCTGACACTGAGTCTGTGTTTGGAGACATTGAATCCATAAAGGAAGATGAACAAAGGAGTGGGAATGAGATCTGTCCCCATCTCCTTGTACACTGCAAAGTGTGTATAGGATCAAAGGCTGTCCTCGCGATCATAGCCTCCGCCTTCACTGCTGAGTTTCATGCTTTGGAGACTGGGTGGGCGCTAACACTCTCTTGTTACACCTCAGTGATGACCTCTTCTGCAGAGCTCCACCCCAACTTATTGCCTGTAACTGGTGACCTGGCCTCATTTATGAGGGAAATGATTTACTGGGTCATCAGCATGTGCCAAAAGCAATTAGGGAGGGAACAGAGCTACAATAAAATGACAAATTTCTGGCAAAGGACAAGAAAAGTGCTTATGATATTATTCTAGATCCCTCCTTCCACCACTACCATGAGGCAGCAAGGGTTTTAACTTGGCAGTGAAAGCTGTCACAGATGCTGTAAGAAGAAAGGAAAAGATCATCTTTGATTATTAGTTCCTGTCTAGGAGCACAGGTGTGAAGATCAAAGACCCAAGTGCCAGTCCTGTCAGCCCTCCTGTACCCCACCCCTTCCCTTTCTAAGGTTCAGTATCTCTCTATACACAGAAAGAATTGGGTCGTTCAGTTTTCTCAAGACTCCTTTTGGTTCTAAATTTATTGGAAATTTTGTCTTTGGGATCAGATTCTTTATTTAGTAACTAAAAGTATCTTCTCCCCCTTTGTTTAGTATAAGAGAACTTGGAAAAATTAAGATGCACATTAAAGATGTACATCAATTCCACCAAAGTCTGATGTCTTTGGTGAACAATGAGGTAAGGAAAACATGCATTTCTTATGGAGAAAGGAAGTTCTGGATCCCTGACTCAGTCCTGCCCAGTGATGTCCCTGTGCCCAGCTATCCTCACCCACTTCTGATTGCACAGAGATCTGGAGTCTAACTCCTAAGTCTAGACCAGTGGTTTCCATGCTTACCGGAAGCCTGTTGTTCTTCGTCAAGTCAGCGGGAGTATAAATATTCAGGTACAGACAGTCTTCAGAAAACTCAAGATGAATTTTCTCCTTTCTATTGGTGAAGAGGTCATGGATCATCTGTCCTTCTGCTGCATCTTGGGAACACCTGGGAGGAGAAAAAAATACCTGATGTCCCCGCAAATGGAAACTAGAAATGTCACATGGGGCACAACTCTGCATTTGGATGTTTGAGCTTATAAATGGAACTGCTTTCACTGGACTGGAATCAGGTGTTATTGGTAGGAGGGCCTCTAGAGTTCCTGTTGGGAACCCTGGGACTCTTGAGTCTCCCAACCCAGAAGATGAAGATGAACTTGAAACCAGATCCTTTCCCAAAGCTATTGAGTTTCTGACTTGTTCTGGGAGATGACAGGCCCTGCCCTACCTGTACAAGGCTTGCTTTGCTGGGCTTTGTACAGTGGACTACAGGGTGACCACGCTCTTCCATCAGGTCAACATGCTCTAGTCCTTGGGAGACTTCCATCAACAAGAAGAACTGCCTTCATTGACAGCACATTGCTTGTCATGGGTGACATCTTTGTGGGATACCTCAGAAGAATTACATTCTAGTCCTCCTTGAGCCATTTATGTGCTGGTAGCCCTGAGTGAGCTCCCTTTCTGCTCTGGGCCCCAAACCTCCAGGTCCCTCCAAGTCCATGTGAGGTGAGCACTATCTTTAAGAACTTTGCACAGCAGGCCTTTTACCATCCTCCTATTCCAATCACTGCAGTGTGCCCTGATTATAGATTTTAAAGTTGGAATATGGCATCGGACAGGCAGCAATTGCTGAATCCTCCGAGTATCTGGGACTGAGTTTAATTCTTCTTATGCAGTGACTCGTTTAAGCTTCAGATCAGCCCCACACTTGGATTCTACTTTTATCCTTAGTTTACAGACAAGGAAACAAAAGTCAGGCAGGTTTGAGAGGCTGCCCCAGATAACATAGCCAGGAGGACTCAAACTATGCAGTATTTACATCTCCAAGTAAATTATAAGCAACATTCTCAGATCCTAAAGGCAGTTGTGCTGCCCTCAGTTTGTAAAAGAGCCAACTGGGGCTATCAAGTCCCAAAATGACAAAGCTTTCAAGTGACTTAAGTAAAGCCACAAAAGATATTTCTGTTTCTATGCTGTGAAGACTTTCCTGTAACAACAAAAATAAGGGATATAATATTCATAAAAGTAATAATTCAAATACCAAGAGGGAAAAATTCAATTTCACTAGTATATAAATAAATACTAAGACATTGAATTACAGTTATTATTGTTGCAGTTATTATACCACTATAATAAGAGCCACAGATTAAATTTTTACTTTATTTTTATTTAAGTATATATTTGAGTGTCTATGAGTCTGTATACAAATGTGAACTGGTGCTCACGGAGTACAGAAGAGGGTGTTTGATGCCCTGGAGCTGGAGTTACAGAAAGTTGTGAGTCACCCAACAGGAGTGTTAGAAACTGACCTCTGGTCCACTGCTAGAGCAGCAAGTGCTCTTAAACACTGATCTGTCTCTCTAGCTTCCACAAATTAATCTTTAATAAGCATTGTGAAGTGTCTAATGAATGAATGTTCTCACATGTGCAAGAAAGGAGTGGACAAAGGTAGAATAGTGCTGGGAGGAAATTGAACAAAAGGCTTGTAACATTAGTTCAGAAATATGATTTCTGAGAACATACCTTAAAATAATCAAGAATATAAAAACAACTTATTGTCACAAAATTAGATACTAAGTAAATGAATTTTAGTTCTATAGTTAATCTCTTTCTGCTATTAAATGTCAGGCCATGCACTGACCCTTGGCTCCCACAACCTCATTCACCCTCCCAGATCCCCCACCCTGTCTCTCCTCCTAGTGTGGGCACTGGCCCATTTCTTCTCTTGGCACCTCAGACTTCTAGACTGCCCTCTTAGCCCAGACTCCCCACTGCTTCTTGATCCTTTGCACCCAGACCAATCTTATTCCTCAGTCTAGTCCCCTAGAGTCCTCAAGGTCTGTTCCTTTCTCCACCTCACCTTTGCGTACCTGGACAAGCCTTCATCCCTGGCCAGCCCAACCCCCAACTTCCTGAGACCAGCATCTTTCCAGGGTAAGTTCTACCAAACCCACTGTGCCTTGACTCCCACAATCTCATTCACTCTCCCAGCTCCCCCACCATGTCTCTCCTCCTAGAGTGGGCACTGGCTCATTACTTTTCTTGGCACCCTAGACCTCTGGACTACCTTTTGACCCCAGACCCCCCCCCACTGCTTCCTGATCCTTTGCACCCAATTCCTCAGTCTATTCCCTGGAGCCCCCAAAGCCTGTTCCCTCCCGACTAGCGTTGGCATACCTGAGATCAGCCTTCATCCCCGGCTGTCCCACCCTCAACCTGGATTCCTGAGACCAGCCTCCTTCCCTGACTGCCTAAGAATCCTGAATCCTACTTCTACCTAGCAATCCTCCCAAATTGTACTGTGCCTGCTAACTAGAGGGATCCAGACCCTAGGAGAAAGCCTGAGAGCACCTGATCCTCATCCGACTTGGGACTCTGTGGGGACTCTTGAGCAGCAGGATGAAAGCCATCTGGCCCCTCCAACATAAAATCAAAAGCGAGAACCTGAAGCCTAGACCAACCAGTTTTTCATGCCCAACAAGTAAACCACAAAAGCACATAAACTTTACAAAAAGAAGCAGACCTAAACCCAACAAAGGAAGGCTTGAATCTCACACAAGAATCAGAAACTACAAAAGAAATCCACGTCAAAGTCACAGTAAAAAAATAATAACATGAAAAAAACCAAATAATATAGCCCCACCAAGTACCAGCAGTCCTGTAGAAGAGTACAGAACCCCGTAGAGGTAACACAGGACATGTAATTCAAAAGAACAATTATAAACATGATAAAAATAATTCAGTGAATTTAAATAACACACAAAGAAAGCAAAGAACTGAAAGAAGCTAGGGATAAACTTCTGAATGAATTTGAAAAGAGTCAGAAATAGTGAAAAATACTCAGGCTGAAACACTCAATAAGCCAATTAGAAATGACAGGAGAAAGCCTCACCAATAGAATGAATGAAGTGGAAAACAGAATATCAAGACTGAAGATAAAGTGGGTGAATTAGACCACTCAAGCAAAGAGTATGAAAAATTTAAGAAAACACAAGGATGGAATATGCAGGAATTGTGTGACACCATAAAAAGACCAAACTTATGCATCATAGGCATAGAGGAAGGAGAAGAATCTCAGATAATAGTATGGACCAGATCCTCAACAGGACTGTAGAAGAAAATTTCCCAAAATTAAAGAAAGACATGTCCATACAAATACAAAAAGCACATAGAACACCAAATAGACAGGACCAGAAAAAACTCTCCATGGCACATCATAGTAAAAATATTAAATGTACAGAACAAAGAGAGAATACTGAAAGCTACAAAAGATATTCCAAGCAAGTCACATATGAAGGAAAACCCATTAGAATTACAGCTGACTTTCACTGCAAACTAGGAAAGCCAGAAGACCCTGGACCAAAGTATTCCCAGTTATAAATGGCCATAGATGCCAACCCAGATTACTTTACCCAGCCAAAACATCTATTATACTCAAAGAGGAAACTGAGGAATGGTTCGGGTGCTCCAATCACCCTGGCCAGGTGGTAAAAAGGCCAAAGGTCATTTATAACTGGGAATACTTTGGTCCAGGCTCTTCTGGCTTTTTTTTAAACAGGCTGAAAGAATTCATGTCCACAAAACCAGCCCTTCAGAGAGTTCTTGAAATAATACAAAAAGCTGAAGAAAGGAACGACTATGCCCAAGTGGTAACAGAAAGAAACTTAATGAAAGTATAACTGGAAAGGCACAGCTCCACCAAGAATGTGAACAGAAATCAAAATGACAGGATTCAATACACATCTTTCATTGATAACTTTAAATATCAATGGACTGAACTCTCCAGTCAAAAGACATAGAGTGGTTGAATGGATTAAGAAATAAAACCCATCTTTTTGTTGTCTGCAAGAAACACACCTCACTTTCAAGGACAGGCACCTTGAGAGGATGGAAAAAAATATTCCAAGCAAATGGGACTAAGAAAAAAGCAGGAGTTGTAGTTCTAATATCTGAGAAAATAGACATCAAACTAAAACTAATCAGAAGAGATCTTGATCAAAGGAACAATCAATCAAGAAGATATTACAATCATATATATATATTCACCATACTCTGGTGCACTCAACTTCATAAACAGTACTACAGGACTTTAAGACCCAGATTAATCCAAGCTCATTAATAGTAGGGGACCTCAGTACTCCCATTGTCTCTATTAGATAGGTCAACAAGACAGAGAATTAACAGAGAGACTTCTGAATTAAATACCATATATCAAATGGACCTAACAGACATCTACCAAATATTCCATGCAAGCAACAAAGAATATACTTTCTATTCAGCACCCCATGGAACGGTCTCTAAAATCGACCACATACTGGGGTACAAAACAAACCTCAACAAATACAAAAAGATTGAAATAATTGCATGCATTCTATCAGACCACAATACAATAAAGCTCAAAATCAACACCGGGAGAATCACTAGTCACCACATGAACACATGGAGATTAAACAACACTCCTGAATGATGAATCGGTCAAAAGAGAACTTAAGAAATATCCTGGAACCTGGAACTAAATGAAAAGGACAATACAACACAACAAAACCTCTGGGACACATTGAAAACAGTCTTTAGAGGGAAGTTTATAGGTCTACGTGCCTACATTTAAAAATCAGAAAGAACACAAATAAATGACTTAACATTGCAACTCAAGACACTTGAAAAGCAACAACAAATGAAACCCAAACCCAGCAGAGAAGAAGAAATAACAAAAATCAGATCAGAAATTAATGAAATAGAAACAAAGAAAACAATACAAAGAATCAACGAATCCAAGAGCCTGTTCTTTGAAAAGATAAGCAAGATTAACAGACCCTTCTCCCAGTTAACCAAAAGAAGGATAGAATACCTCCAAATCAACAAAATCAAAGATGAAAGGGAAAACATCACAACGGACACCAAAAAGATTCAGAAAATTATAAGGGAATACTTTAAAAACCTATATGCTACTAAATTTGAAAACCTAAAAGAAATGAAACGGTATCTAAAAGCATAAGAACCACAAAAACTAAACCAAGAAGAGATCAACAGCTTAAACAAACCCTTAATACATAAGGAAATTGAAACAGTTTTACAAAACCTCCCAACTGAAAAAAGCCCAAGACTAGATGGATTTCCAGCAGAATTCTACCAGACATTTAAAGAAGATCTATACCCAACACTACTTAACTTACTCAAAAAGATAGAAATGGAGGGAGAACTTCCAAATTCCTTCTATGAAACCAGCATCACTCTAATACCAAAACCATGTAAAGATACAACCAAAAAAGAAAACTATAGACCCATATATCCTTAATGAACATAGATGCAAAAATTCTCAACAAATTACTTGCAAACCACATACAGATACACATAAAAAAGATAATCCACCATGATCAAGTTGGCTTTATCCCAGAGATGCAGGGATGGTTCAATACACGTGAGTCAATAAACATAAATCATATAAATGGACTCAAAGACAAGAACCACATGGTCATCTCAATAGATGCAGAGAAGGCCTTTGACAAAATTCAGCAGGCATTTATGTTCAAAGTCCTAGAGGGAATTGGACTGGAGGGAACATATCTCAACATAATTAAAGCCATATACAACAAACCCACAGCCAACATCATTCTAAATGAAGAAAAAGTTGAAGCGCTCCCATTAAAATCAGGAACCAGACAAGGCTGCCCCATCTCCACTCCTTTGGGGGGGGGAGCGGTTTATTAGACTTATATCTCACAGGTCACAGTTCATCAGGGAGCCCAAGGTAGGGACTCAGGGCAGGAACCTGCAGGAAGGTGCTGGAGCACAGGCCATGGAGGAATGCTGCTTACTGGCTTGCTCCCCTGGCCCCTGTTCAGTTGCTTATGCAACACAGGCCCACCTGCCCAGGGGTGGCACCACCCACAGTGGGCTGGACCCTCCCACATCCTTTTTAACACAGGGTTTGAAACTCTTGAAAGAGCAATAAGACAAGAGAAGGAAATTAAAGGAGTAATGAATGGAAAAGAAGAGATGAAAATATTCCTTTTTGCAGATGATATATCTAAGACAAGCCAAAAATTCCACCAGAAAACTCCTGGAAATGATTAACACTTTCAGTGAAGTGGCAGGTTACAAAATTAATCTACAAAAGTCTGTAGCCTTTCTATATACCAATAACAAGCAATCAAAGAAAGAGTACATGGAACTACTTCCTTTCACAATAGCTTCAAAAAAACAAAATATCTCAGAATAAATCTGACCAAAGACATTAAAGACCTCTACAATGAAAATTTAAATTTTTAAAGAGATTGAGGAAGACATCAGAAGATGGAAGGACCTCCCATGCTCATGGTTTGGAAGTATTAATACTGTGAAAATGACCATCCTACCAAAAGCCATTTATAGATTCATTGCAATACTAATCAAACTCTCCTTAGTGAAGAAGCGAGATGATGATGACACCAGTTACCCAGGCAGCCACCCAAGCTCTTTGCATGTCTGATCCATTTTCAGAGGAGGAAGTAAACAGCTAAACGACTAGAAACCAGGACTGGTGTTGTTAACAGCAATAATCTCTGGGTAGAAGAATTGGATATGATTTCATTTTTCTTATTTTTGCTCTGGAACATTTCCTAACTTTTCTGCAATGGTGTGTGTGGTGTGTGTGTGTGTGTGTGTGTGTGTGTGTGTGTGTGTGTGTATTTGCTATCATAATGTAAAAACAATTTTTATAAAAAGAAAAAAGGAAAGAAGGCATTCAGAGGTGCATTGCTCAGGTTTCCCTTTTTCTGAAGGTGAATAATGACTGAACTGACATTTGTAGGTGTCCCAGTTTTTGGGGGGGTGGCTATGAAGCCATATTGGACCTTTGGCCTTTATACTACCTGGCCAGGGTGATTGGAGCACCCGAACCATTGCTCAGTTTGTGAATGGGCAGCTAGACACAGCAAGGAGTGAGATGTGCCCCATTCCATTACCAACCAAGCTTCAACACTGAGACTAGACAGCACCATCTTCTCACTTATCAAATTCTATCATAGTACACAACTCACTGCTAAGTTCTGTGTTTTCTCTTGTCTCTCTCCCATGCCATAGCACAATTCAATAATGATAAGAATTATAGTTTTCTCACTAATAGATCCTCATACCTATAGCATGCCTGGATCATTACACATGTATTGAACAGAGGACTCTAGAAAGCTATGACAGTTCTGGAATGTTGCTAGAGTGTTCTTGAGAATTCCATAATAAAGTGTAGCTAATGCCTTGACTCCTTCATGCACCTCTCTGAGTCACACTTCCCAACCCACAGTATCCCACCTCAGTGTCTTACATGGGCGGGTAGAAGGTGGCGTTCTTCACGAAGCTCCATGGCTCTGCAGGCTGTGGTGGAGCAAACCTCAGGGATCCAAGAGGGGGCCTGGCAAAGGGGACGCCCAGGAAAATGGCCACAGGCTGTGGGAAGCCTTCTAGGCTGACGTACTTCCCCAGGACTTTGCCATGCACAGTGTTCACCACAGGTGGTGAGGATGGGTGTCCTGCTGGACCAACAGAGAAAACATAAATGCAACAGAGGGAGAAAAGTCAGTCCTGGATTCCAGGTAGGTTTTGCCATTTTTAGGATGTGATATTGAGTAAATCACTTGAGTTTTTGTAGGTCTCATTTGCTTCTGACATAAAATTAGTAAGTAGAAAACTCTCCTCATCTCAGAGCTCCAAATAAAAAGTGAGCTGGCATTGGAGGTAGAAAAACATCCAGCCAAGTCATTACAAAAAACTAGCTGGGAATGAACAAGACCTTTGGTTTCTCTCTTAGAATTCTCTCAAAACGAGTATTGAGTAAGGTCCTGGGTGGAGCTACATGCTAGAGGAGAGCGTAAACAAGAAACACCCCTTATCTCAGAACGATTGGCCACATGCTTTGATGGAAGAGTTTGTGTGGGAAAAGAATCAAGAAGGTGCCCCAGGAGTTGGAAGAAAGTCAGAAGCCTTTTGATTGGTGTCACCCCAGAAAAACCAGGACTTGCAGACAGGGGAGGGGTGAGAAAGTGAAGATGAAAGGGTAGGGGTGACTAAGCAAGAATAAGGAAAAGAAAGTAGTCCAGAGACAGAATAAAACAGGGCCTGGATGGGAAGGCCCAAAAGATCCTAGGGCGAGAGAGATAATCCTGGATGGCCAGGTGCAAGTCAGGGAGGGCACTGGATGCCCAGTGAAGACATTAAGTTTTATATCGTGGAGTAATAAGCAGCAGGAACAGTTTGGGCATCAAGGACACATGAGCTTCTAAAATGTTCTGGTGACCCAGAGGGGAGTCCAGATCCACTAACAGGGAGGGCAACTGGGTGTCAGACTCCTGTCTGACTCATTGTCTCCATTCTTGAAGAACAGATAATCTTTACTCACCTACTTCAGATTCATCATCTATCTATCCACTGTAGGACCCTCAGGAACCAGCCTGATCCTGCTTCAAGAGGCAGGAGGGCATTGACACACTTTTTCATCACCACACTGATGTCTTCCTGTTTGGTAATGGCCTTCTCAGCTTCCCTCCTAACATATGGTGCCTACCTTCTTGCCTTTGCATTGCTCGCCTTATGTACAGATAATATGGGCCAAAATCTCCAAAAAATGTTGATCAGAAAAGAAAATTCCAGATTTTGTCAACCAGACAAATAGCCATATACATATAGTGTACGTGTGTGATAGATAGATAGATGATAGACAGACAGATTGGAAAGGGAGTGGAAGAGAGACATGGGTAGAGGTAAAGGGGTGGAGATGTTGAATATACAGCGTATTCATATAAGACACTCTCAATAAATAAAAATTTAAATTTAAATATAGAAAGGCCAGACAACAAATATTTTTTCATTTTTCTTAAATTATTTATTTAATAACCACGTGATTAGAAGAAGCATTTCATTGCAGCTTTAACATATTCAGTAACACACTCCAGAGCAAGGATACATCTCTTTCAAAAGTGGCTGTAAATTTTTAGGTTCACATTTGAATTAATACAGTTATACAATACTGAACTCAGAATAAACCCTATAAGACATAAAATTGAATGAGGTTTTAACCTTTAAGAAAGATATCCATTTCATTTTAGAATATACTGTTTCATTCAGAAAAACTCATTCTTAATGCTACTAACAATTAGATGTTTGCACATGCATCTCTAATCTTTATGTATCTGATTATTACTAGTCACAGTCAGTTACTTTCCGAGATCCTTGGCACCTGAACATGGATATAAAATCATGAGGTAGATTTCAATGGTAATTTTTTCACCTCTACTAATTAACATGAAGCAGTTTTTTATGCTTATTCCTCGAATATAGCTCATTTGTGTGTGTGTGTGGTGTGTGTATTTTATATAGAACATCCCAAACAATCTTATTCATCTATATACCCACATCCCAAATGGCACCCTCACATAGCCACACACACACACACACACACACACACACACACACACATACACTGGAGCCCATATACTCTGTCATCCCTGTTACTGTCCACTGTGTCAGGCAACAAATATTTTAGTTCAAAGTCCATGTGGTCTCTGTCTCAACCACTCAGGAAGCATCTACCACCACTATATAAAGGGAAAGGCATGGATGAGCCCCAATAAAGCTTTATTTATAAAAAACATATGAAGAATGAGGATATGTTTCCTGCTTTGATGTGGCAATGGAAAGAAAGAAGACTGAAGAATGAATTAATAATACTGACTCCTTGTAAGATGGGAGCAGTGGGAAGTGACAAATCCAGGTAACAAGATGCCTCTAGCCAGGCAGGAGAGGTACTTGATAGGTACATGATTCCCAGCACGTAGAAGGACGGGGTAGGAAAATTACTTCAAATTCTGGGCCAGCTTGGGCTCCATAGTGAGACAACAAAAAGAAAAGCAAACGTCTCAGGCTGTGGTCATTTTGGTACCTAAAGGAGGTCAGTAAGAGGCAGGTAGAGACGTTCATGTGCACGTACACACTTAGCTTGACTACACCACAGGGTGTCATGTCAGAGAAAAGGAAAATCCAGTGATGAAAAACAGCCACAACTACCGCTGAGACTAAGGACAGCTACCTGAGTGGCAAGACAGGAGAAGGGCGCCCATCAAGAAGCCCCAGGAGTAGAAGTGGGGTTGGTGTAAGTGCCGAGTGTTTCAAAGAAGGAAAGTAAAGTAAAGACTGATTAGAAATCACTACTTATGACCTGCAGCAGCTCAGTGACTAACTTTCCCCCCATCACCCACAATAAAATGTGTTTGGATATACTGGGAAGGAGAAACAAGAATATTACCAACAGCAGTTATCACTTACATTATAGGGAATGCACACATATTGGATACCTACTGTATGCCAGAATCATCCCAGCTACTTTACATTATTCCTCACAAAAGTCTTTCTACATGACTTATTAGAGCCACTAAACAGATTTGGAAAAAAAAATGGGATTTGGAAGTATGGAGCTGCTAAAGATGGAACTAGGATGGCATTCCCAGGGTGACCAGCAGTGAAGGAAGGTTCCAGTCCAAATCTGTCTTCTTTCCTACTCTACCTTACACTCAGAACTCAGCCACAGGTCTGTCCCAGTGTCACGTGTCCACAGAGAAGATAAACTCCAGAAGGGGCGAGACTGTCAGGGCACTGGTAGCTGCACTGCCTTAGGGCTTGGGACCCAGAACTAGACCAGGACAGGATTCTTCATGTAACCTTGAAAGAGGTCCCTGTGAGTCTCAATTTCTCTACTGGTAAAATGTCACAGATATATGTTGAGATCTAATGCTATACTCTATATTAACCACGAATTCAATTTCTGTGTCTGTTGCTTTGACTTGTTGAGACCCAGCATGACCCTGTGGGAACATTCTCAGGGTCCATCGAATCCAGAATCGCCACTACTAATTGCTTTATCTAGATATCATAGCATGGACCACTGTCTATCTGCTGTCATAACCCAGAACTTTGCACCAAACAACTAAGACAAAAGTCCCTTGAAATTCTAAAATCTCTGTGCCTGCTTATACTGCTTCACCTCTTCCTTCAAGACAGACTCCAAAGAGGCCGCATGTTTCCAGTACCTGTGTCTCCTGACAGACCCTAATGTATCCCCTTTGCCCAGTACTCTGCCCCTTCTCTTGGGAACCATGAATAATAAATTTGTTTTCAATAATCACTGACCCCTGGTGTGTTCACGTAACCATACCTCAATTTTTCTATCTCCAGACTCCACTTTAAATAAACTCCTTTATTTATCCACCTGTTTCTCACACCTCTCAACCAGTCACTTCTCTAAGCACTTTAGAAAAAAATTAATCCTCCTTATAGTTCAGTGAAATAGGGAAACTGAGCTGTCCTAATTCTTCTTCTGTGAGTTGTGGGGTTATCTCACTGAGTTTCTGCACCTGTGTGCTGTTTGGTCTCAGAGTTGTTATCCTCTTCTGATCTCAGTGTGTCCCATCCCAGGGTTCCCACGGTCTGGGCCACTTCACAGGCAACTTCAAGTCTGGAGAATGAACACCTCTGCAGAACTGGATTTGTCTTCTCCTTGCTCTATAAGCATCTCTACCTACCTCTGTGTAGAATAAGTACTTTGAAAGGTATTTTAAAGGACTCACCCAAAACCATGCAGGCTAATAGAGACATCAGGAGCAGAGTACAGAGGCACATCATGAAAGAACAGACTTGCGGTCCAGTGACGTCTCAGACTCTTGTCTATAGCAGAAGGGAATGTGCTGGTCCTACCCATGTGCTGAAGATCCACCCAGAAATCCTGCCCACAAAGTTCGACTGTAAAATATAGGTTGACAGAAAGCCTCTCCCTCTCCTAACAAGACCCTAGGGCATTCCATGGGATCTCCAAGCCATGCCTCCTCACAGTTTACCCTGCTTCATCTGAATATTAACACACTTACAATTTGCCCTCTTTTATTTAATCAGTCAGTGTAATTCTCAGATTACAGATGGCCAGAGACTCAGCCAACAATTTCTTATATGGGCATTTCTCCTTGTAACACTATTACCTAAGTGTTCTGTGAGCTTACCAAAGACTGGCAGATACATTCAGGCAGGGTGAAGCTTTGGTCAGGGATCCTCACACAAATATGGAGATCCTGCTAATATGGTGATCAGAGCACAGCTCTCATCTTTCTAGGCTGGCATTCCCTGGAGTTTTAGGTTCTCCTGTTCAGTAGTAATCTTAAATTTTATCTAGCCTCCTTTTGATTCCTAAATTAGCCTATAAAATTCCTACCAAACAGCCCTGCCTGGTGCCACACCCATCAAAGCTCAGGGAACTCATTAGCTTCCACTGCAGGGATCTAGGTACAGAATGTTTTTACAGTAAATGAACTTAATTTCTCTAATTTTAAGCATTTACCAAAATAAGTGGCTCTTGATAGCCATTGTGAGTGCAAAGCTGATTCCAGGACACGGTCCCTCTTCTCAAGTACCCCTCTGAATAGTAAACAAAACTGATGTGACGATGGAGGGGGATTTCAGTTCATATGAACACTCCAAATTAGAGGGATAAAGTGTGCGAGTACACCTAGGAGAGACTCATTTGAAAAGTGCTGATGATGCAAAGAAGCTGTCCAAGTCATCTTTAATAATATTACAAAATGCCCTATAATAGGGATTTATTTAAATACATAGTTAAGCACATGCTACAGATTCACTCCAAGCAGTGATGAACTGCTCTGTGTACTGGCATAGAAATACAGACATGTCCTATTGTGACAGGCAAAGCACAAGCTGTAGATTATCATGGTTGCTTTGGGACACAGTTTACCAGTTTCTCTAAGAAGTCAAGACAGATTTCCCACAAAGCACAGAAGTTCCAATCCCAGGAATATAACCAAAATAATTGAAAACATGAGTCATACAAAAACTAATACACAAATATCACTGTTATTGATAAGAGCCAAAAGTGGAAATAGCCCAAATATCCTAATTAAACAAAGCTGTTTCCAAGCACTTAGGGATTCATGATTTAATAAATGAAGGGTAGTCTTTTAATATTGTTAAATATTACTTTTTTTTGGTCTTTTTGAGACAGGGTCTCCCTGTAGCCCCAGCTGTCCTGGAACTCACTATGTAGACCAGGCTGGCCTTGAACTCACAGAGATTTGCCTGACTCTGCCTCCCGAGTGCTGGGATTAAAGGCATGTGCCACCATGCTCGGCCTGAATATTACTTTTAAGACCAGCTTGCTGGTTTCTGGGGCTGAGGGAAAGAGGGATGAGGAACAGCTGCTCTGTGATCTGCAACAATGTTTTAAACATCCTTTGAGCAAGAACTAAATGTGGACATTTGAGTCATTACATGCTTCCAAGTAACCACCCTCAAAAACATGAAGTGCAAACAGTTTGAATTCAGTACTATAGAGAATTTTATCAGTTTGGTCTATAGTCCTTCATCTAAGCAGGTATGCAAATACTCCTTCAGTCTCTTTCAAAGAACTCAGAATAACAAGAGTAGAATAGACGCTGTCAGTAGCAGGCTGTCCTCCTGGGACCACACAAGCCCAGGACACTTGGGTGACCTCTGTCTGCCAGGAGCCCCCCTTCACTTTGGTGATTTCCCTAAAGTGGAACAGCACCATTGATTGCATGACAGATCACAGTTCTAGGAGACCCACGATCCTCCATCCCCTGGAATAACACTCAATGACTGGAGTTCAGGTATAAATACCTTAATTTCTCCAGCTGTCTGCTGAACTGACTTTGAAACATTCCTTCCCAGTGTTTTCACTCAGTCACCCATGGTACTAGTCGATGGCACACGATGGCACACTAAACCGTTCAACGGCTCTTTCTTTTCTCTACCTCAAAGTCTCATTCCTATCACTGTTCTTGCACATTCCAAAATAAAGTTATTGTACTTGAAAGCTTGTCTCAAGTCTGCTCTATAGGACACCCAAAGCAAGACAAAGGAGCCATGCACGGATAGTCCCTAGGTCATATCACCATGTGTTTATATGATTTGAGTTGTTGTACATGCCCAGCAATTCATATGTTGAAGCTCTACCCCGTCCTCTCACTGTGACTGTATTTGGATATATGCCCACTGAAATGTTAGAACAGAAAAAAAAAAGGCCATGATGGTGGGTAATAATCCAATCTGACGGATGTTATCATCAGAGTAATTTCAGACATACAATGTGACACCACCAGCACATGGACATAGAGCAAAAAAGCAAGAAGGGGACACCCTACCACAAACCAAAGAAGGTGGCCAGTGCGAAAACTAATCCTGCTGCAACTTGAACTTTGATTGACAACCTCTAGAAACAAAAGAAGTGAAGAAATGAGTGTTGTGGACTCTAGCCCCAGGCTGGCCGTACATTACTACGGCAGCCCAAGCAGAGTGACATATAAACCCAGCTAGGGGCTTTTCTTGTTGCCTAATGGAATCTAAGGCCTAGACATGAGCAGAGCCCTAACATGACGCAGCAACTCAATGTCAAATGAGTAACGATCTGTAGCCTCTGACTTTAACCCTATGTGGCTGGCAGCCACTTATCTTGCTTAGTGCACTAGGAAGATGACCTAACTAGCAGCCTTATCATAAGGCAAAATACTTGGACTTTGTACACAATCACAATGTCATTTCATTGGCCAAAGATAAGGAGAGAAGGGCTGAAGGATTTGAAAGGCACAGGAAAAAGCACAAATCTAGAAAGGGGTTATTTCTTCACCAGATCAGACCAAAGCTGATAAGAAGCAGTGTTTGGCAACCAGTACCCAGCAGCCTCCCATAACCCCAGAGAGACACTCACAGGTTCTTCCCAAAGACCACTGGTTTTACTGGAAATGAAACTCCTAAGACTCACAGCTCAAAAACAGATGTTAATTAACACTCATCGCAGACACTATAAGAAGGCATGGAGCCCTAAACTGAGGGTAAGGACTTAGTGATGGAACTAAAATCAATTCCTGGAGACAACCGACTCTGCCAAAGTCTGGCCTTGACTCTTACTTTTATCCAGGAAGGAAAATTGGTGCATCCACTGAAAAGTCCTCACCCTTCTCGACCCACATGGGACAATCTGAGTGGTCCTCCTAATTAGACAAGGCTGTTTCCAATTACTTAGTGTGTACACACACACACACACACACACACACACACACACACACACACACACCGGCCTGTTCTCACTAGGAAACTGACCTTTGAAACCTGGCAAACATCCCTGGCCATTTTATGAAGATTGTACAGCAATTTCCTAACAAATAAATCATAGAAGATAAGAATGAATAATAAATTCTCATGTCCAGTGTTCAATCACAAGAGCACTTGCGATAACAGAGAATTTGCTACACACAGACAGCCATGCCTAAAGCTTGCCTGTACATTGGTGTAGATTTCTTGCCTCATGGTGATTTTGCAGAAATGGTGGTTGAAGGTGTCGTGTTCCATGCCTCATACTAGATCTCAGAGAAGCTCACTCACAAAGTGTGATTTTTCCTGTGTCATTCTAGCTGTCGCTGACTTCTCTCTTCAAATGTCAGTTGCTTTATTTTATTGCTCTTCCCTTAAAGTACTGCCTAAACATTCCTATGTGGAACTACATGACCCAGAGAGAGAAATCCTAGGAAACTACTTGAAATTTTAAGAACTTTGGAGAATGTAGCAGCACAGGTGTCTCTGGATGATTCAAATTGACCCTAAAGGCCTTCCTATATTGATTAATTTATTCAGCTTAACAGAATATCCATTTTAGAATAGGCTTTAGTCCTGAGACTAATGAGGGGTAGGTTGTGATAGAGGGCACTGCATTGGGAGGCCCAAAACCATGAACACAGTGCACCACTGCAGAGTCTCTCTGGGAAGAGTTTACAGCAATGGTGATTCTGGATGAGGTGCTCATTCATGTGCTGTTTACCATGGCTCAACATGCATAAACTAAAATTACAAGACATTTTCTAATGTACCCCTGACATGTATGCTATGTTTGTGGAGCACTGATTTATCTAATACTGTTATTTATTCACATATATTTATTTTTTGAAATTTATAAATTATTCAGAATCAAGAGGAAACCCCCATGTAAAACACTAGAAATATAAAAATAAGATAAAGCCAAAAGGTCAGAAGCAAGGAATATTATATAGACTTTGACCTGCTCACAGGGGTGTCCAAAATGACTAACAAAACAGTGACTTAGCAGAAAGGTCACCACAACATACAGAGAATATTTCCTCAAGGATAACAGCCAGGCAACTGACTATTCCCCCTTGAACTGGAACCAAGATCATTCAGATCACTAACTTTTGAAGCCCAAGGATGTCTGTGCTTATATAATTCTTTGTTTTTACTCCTTTAAATGTTTCCTGTACCAGCCCCCTAAGATGCCCCTTGATTTCATGCCACAAGTTTTCTTCATTGTTGTGCTCCCTGCTTATGCCACATGATATCACTGTTCTTCTCCCCTCTTAATGTTTTATTAAAGCTTGACCCCCATATGAGCATATCAGCTGTTTTATTAGTATTATTCAAGTTTTTATTAGCATATATTAATTACACATAATAATTACCCTATGTGGCTGGGAGCCACTTACCTTGTTTAATGCAGTAGGAAAATGCCCTAACTAGCAGTCTTAAGCAAAGGATATTATACACATTGACCTGCTAACAGGGGTGTCCAAAATGACTAACAAAATAATAAT